ATTGTCATCTTTTTCGTTATCATTATCAGACACAATATATACTGAGTAAATTGAAGCCATATGAAATTATTATTTTGCTCATTAAAAGTTCACTACAAAGAGCTCCACCCGATAATAATCATAAATAAATTTTTTGTTTGTTTTATCAATGAGCTTTAATTCTGAGACCAAAATACTGTTGTATACAACCGAAGAGTCAAAAATTTGCAACTTGACTATAACTGCGAGAAAAAACAGAGAAACAAAAGATTTAGATCAAGTGAAGAAAATATCAGTTCTTTCATCAATCGAATAGTATAGTTATAAATTATACAGATTGAAATTACTTATTAAAATAAAACTGGTGTCAACGATAAGGTAATCTTATTAGTTTATTGTTATAAAAATGAAATATCAGTCACTAATTGGAAGAAAATTCTTAAGCTAATATTACTATAAGTTTATGAACTGTGCAGAAACAAAAACAACAATATTAGGTAAACTCATATTGATACCTGTTAATTTAGACTGTAAATAACCCATTTCAGTTAACGGAGCATCAGAAGCAAATTTTTGATAGCCATCTTTACGCGGTGGTACCTTCCTTGGCATATTCAAATCAAATTGGTGATACTTTCCATTAGCATCAAATGCACGTCTCATCCAATTGACTCCTTCAAATAAATAAATAAATATATATATATACATATATATTGATATATCGATATATAATTTAACAAATACAAATATTAATTTAGATATACAAATGCTATCAGCTAACAGTATTCTGATAAACAACACCATTTTGACAGTTTTTATGCAAAGTATAAGTTTCATTAAAAAATTTTGTCGCTTTAACCAAAAATAAAACAAAAAAACTTTTTTTTCCCAACTATTACTGATTTTCATAAAAAAAACTCATATATATCAACAACAGTGATAACAACAGAAAAACATTGTTCAAAAAAATGTTGTTAGCCAAAGAATTCAAAAAAAAAGAAGATAAATAACACCATCATCATACCCTGTTGGTTGAAGGCGAAATCGCAACGTTCACCATGTCGAACCACCAATATTCTTTTGGGATTTTCCATTGCTAAAATAAAAACTGATATAGTGTTAACGTAGAAGTTGCTTTTTTTCTTTCTATTTACAAAAAAAAATAGTTATTAGTAAAAAAAGAAAAAAAAAGTTGTTTTTTTTCTCAATCAATTCATTTGCCTTTTCTTATCTGAAAATCCATTTTTATTCCCCGCCCACTATCAAATATTAAGTCAAAACCGTACGGCAACAGGAAGTCATAGAAGAAATTAATAGAAGGTAAAAAGTAACCGGGCAAAAAAAAATTGAAAAACAATATCCTTTTTTTCATTTTTTTTTTTTTTTTCAAAGATACATTACCTTAGCAGCACAAAAACAGCGCCAACGAAATATTCATTAAAAAATTGACCAAAACTAAAGATAAAGAATTCATTGATTCAAAGGAAGAAAGAGATTGGATGCGGAGAAAAGAAGGGGAAACAGAGAGAAGAGAAGAATTAGGTGATGAGGAGAAAGAATGGGAAAAAAGAAAAACAATAGAATCAATTGATTTTACAGGAACTGAGCAAAACATATAAAGTATAAAAATCCATTTACATATAGTATAATCACATTAAAAAATTTTTTTGCTATTTTTAGTCTTCTTTTTTTTTTAGCTGCTTTCCGGGCTTTTATTTTGGCTGCTGTTTTTGTTCAATGGTTAAATATACGAAAATGTGTCGGATATACACAACAACAAAAACAACAACAACAACTCATCACTATTAAATTTTCACCCGATCATCTCCTCTCTCTTTTTTGCTCTTCTATAGAAAAAAAAAAAAAAAAGAAAAGAAATTTTTGTCTAAATTTTTGCCTGTAAGACTTTTTTTCCTTTTATCGTTGCTCATCGTTGCGATTTTGGTTTGCTTGAAAGCAAATAGGCCCCCCAAAAGTACCTTAAAATGAGTGAACAATCAAACATTTGCAAAGGTACGCACAAAAAACAACGTCAACAACAACAACATTAGCAGCGAAGAAAAAAAAAAAAGCATCATTGAAATCGGTAAACTAAAAATTGAATGCTTCAAAGCTAAATGAAATATTGACAATAAACAAAAAATTGAAACTGGTTTTTTTTTTTTTGCAAGATCAGACATAATTTTGACTTTAGTTTTGGCTTATTTATTGAAGACTCCCTCCAAAAGTGAAAGAAGAAGAAGAAAAAAAAAGAGAATAAGAAGAAAAAAACTTCTCCTTATCCTCCTCCTACCCGTCTGTTCCCAATCCCACATCTCTACTAAAATATTAACAAACCATTGCCAAAGTTGTTTCGTAGAAAATAAAAAAAAAAGCAAAAAAAAAGAACAGCAACATTTTTTCCAAATTTTTTTTTTTTTTTTTTTT